AGCGCCCAAACCCCCCCCCCCCCCCCCCCAACCCCAGGTTATAAAAAAAACAAGTGGGCTCCCCCAAAGTCCACGGCATAGTTCGAACACTGCTTATGTGTACTAGTAAACACACATTGTAATACACCAACAATTCATTGATAATTGTATTTTTTTTTTTCGAACAGCATCTTGATGAACTTTTTATAGCATCAAGATATTATTATTTCCTGTTTCATTTCAATTTTACATTTTGTTGTGTTTTTTTCTTAGTTTTTATCAATTTTTATTTCAGTTTTAGTATTAGTTATTTTTATAGATCAAGTTAAACTAAACCGAAATGTTCCTTTGGCTACTAGCTGAAATAAAAGTTTTTATGAATTCATTTAAGTTAACTAAAAATATAAAACTGATTTTTTTTTTTTTGCCTAATGGTTCTAGTAAAGACATTTGTTCTTTTCCTCCCTTTTTTCATTTTCTGTTTATCCCCATTTTCTTTTTCAATTTTAATTTTAGTTCAATTTTTAGCAAATTTGTTGTGTGCTTTTGTCATTTTTCTTAGTTATTGTTTTTTTGATGTCTAAATAATTTGTATTACTTTTATTTCAATTTTAGTTTAGTTATTTAGTAATCAAGTTATATTACACAAAAAGTAATGCTGTTTTGGCAACTATCTGAAATAAAATGTTTTACACTTCAGTTAACTAAAAATATAATAATTCTGGCCTAAGGGTTCTATAAACACATATCATATTCTTTGATAAACATATTTATTTGTTGTCTGAACTGCTGAACTGAAATGAAAGGTTACGAGCAGTAACAGATATCTGGTGTTGCCACACTTTCTGTAACTGACTGAACGAACGTATCCTGGCCTGCAGCTAAAACGATAACCAATGTAATTATAGGGAGTATTTATATAAGAGCTGGTTGCTCAGGTGAATCTGAATTAGATCCAGATATTTGAGCTCATTTCTGCTTTGTGGTTTTAATGTGTGCAGGTGCGATTTCAACGACATCGATTCACAATCCCAAACCATGAACGGCACGTCTTGATGCTTCATATTTGAATGTACGTGAATGCAAAAGAGATTTAAGAACTACAGCAAAGGGAAGATTTCAGCACAAATGATTTAAATTGTCTTCAATGGAAAAAAGTAAATTGATCTGGAATGACATCAGAATTAATTAACAAAGGCAGAATTTTTATAAAAATTCAAATTATTTTTTTATTTAATTTTTTTGTTTTATTTAATTTTAAATATTGAATTATTATTATTTTTTTTTCATTTTCTGTTTCCATTTTTTTTAGTTCAGTTTTGAAAACTTTTTTTCTTGGATACATACAAATGGCAAGGAACATTCCATTTTAGAATTTTGCAAACATTTTGGGAATGTTCATTTTGAATGTTCTCTGAACGTTCTGAAACATGTACAGTAGTACCATTTAAAAAATGTTATATGAACATCCAATGAAAACATTTTAGAAATGTCCCATAACATTGTCGTACGAACACTTTGAGAACATTAGTAAACAAAGAGCGCTGAACGAGCATGCTATGAACGTTACTGGAAGAACTTTTGTTCATAATTTTGAGGACCTTTCCTTGTCAGTGTTGTTTTAGCATCATTGAAATATTATTATACTTTCTTTCTTTCTTTCTTTCTTTCTTTTTAATTGAATACATTTTTATTTTTTGCATTGTCCGTTTGCATTTTAATTTAAAAGTTTTAGCAATTTTGTTGTGGTTTTTGTCATTTTTATTAGCTATCAAAAAGTTCTTCTGAATGTTTTCTGAACATTCAAAACATCCAGTTTTTTTTAGAATTGTAAAATATTTTTTTCTTGGATATGTACGAACGTGCCATTTTACAATTTTGCAAACATTAGGCGAAAATTACTTTTGAAAGTTCTCTGAATGTTCTTAAATGCAGTAACACTTACAACACGTCAGATGAACATCCATCTAACATTTTTCAGAAATAAAACGCTCTCTAATACAAACGTATACATAACGTTTTTGTGCAAATGTTTTGAAAACATTAGTAAAGACAGATTGAACAAACGCTCTTTTAATATTAGTGTAAGAACGTTTGTTCATAACTTCGAAAGAACCTTGCCAGAATGTTCCTTGTTACCTGCACAGGTGTTCTCAGGGGTTCTCACTGGTTCAGGTCCTGCACCTTGAACTCTGTGATTTTCTGGTTTAGATATGGCACAGCTCCACTTCCGGTGCATTACATCTGTGAGGTTTTTCCTCCACCAGCAAGACAAAAACCCTAAAACAAATGTACAAATTTTAAACATCATGTGATGCAACGTCTTATTCAAATGTCATTGTGTGTAATCAGAGCTACAGCTCATGTGCTTGTGTGTGGTGACTCTGCTGATGTCAGATGGTCAATATGTTCTCAATCAGGGCCAGCATCTGTTGAGGAGGTTAAAAACCCTCAGATTAAGACGATCTGATTTGGTGAAGGTTACACTGATGGTTCCGATTCTTCCTTCTGTAATCCTCACATCATCAGCTGATCAACTGATGCTCTGGAAAGCAAGAAAAATGATGGAAATGCAACGGTTAACAAATAAACAAGCGTTTGGTAATTGTTCAGCAAGTGTGACCGAGACAAAGAAAGTGAGTCATATTTACTCTCAGCTTTGGTGAGTTTTATGTAAATGGGGAATTAATGTAATCTTAACCGCAGGGCTGCAAATGCATATCTCTTCTGCTTCCCTTCCACCAGGAAATTATTGTTCTGTTACAGCAAGGCTGATCATCTGCACTGTCTAATTACTCATACGCTCTAATGCACACTTGTATCTACACTACAGTACATTTCATGAGGGTCTCTGATTATTTTTTTAATCTCTAAAGAAATGTCTAGACAAAAAAAGTTCTTGATAAGAAGCATATTCTATGCTGAATCCAGATGTTTCTTTCTCTGTGTACATAACCATATACATTAAATGTAATATTTAAAAAAAATAATTACATTAGTTTAATAATTTAGCATCCACTTTTATGCAAAGTGACTTATAATACCACAAGCTTATTATTATTAGCATAGTTGTATTAATTCAGAAACGTAGAGAAAGCGGAATTGATATTATTTGCTTAATTATATGCATTTGGAATTGTTGAGAAAGTAGAACAGCCTACGTATTATCAGCATTATTATTTTTCATGTCATGCTGATTATGTTTTCTTAACCGCAAGAAGAAAAAATCATTCGGTCCAAAACTATTTAAACGTCTAAAAAACATTTAACTTGCAAATGAGTATTTCTAGACACACCTCCTGGCTCTGCGTCAACGCTGGTTGGTCGCGCCGACCCTCATTAACATGCGGTGGGCGTGTCCACAGCCTGTCTGTTCGGATGAATGAGTAGAGCGCTTCAGTCGCGCATCGGGCAGCGAGCGAGAACTCAGCCGCTCTCCGGCGCTCAGAATGCGGCTGCGCCTGTGAACTCATCCCGCTCCCGTTCCCTGTGACGCCAACACTGAACGGGAAACATGCGGAACACTAAAAGAGGAACCTACCTGCACAGCAAAAGAGAGTTATGGGTAAGTTTTTTACACTCATGAAAACGGCATTTATCATGACAACGAATTCTCTTAACAGTAAATAATTGGTAACTCTTTATAATATCTTTAAATTATATAATCTAAAATTATTATATAATCACTTATTAGATAGATGAATCAAAGTCGTATTTGGAAGGATTGTATAATAAATTTGAATCATTGTTTTATGTTAAAAACTAATTATTCAAGGATATTCAATGATTCATAAAGCACGTGTGAGCATATAGTGTTATGATTTCGTTTGCAGGTTCATTGCAGTCCCTTGTGATATCCATATTTTCTGTCAAAATATCTTTGTTATTAGTTAAAATTGTGGTACCACCACTCTCATCCAAATACATGGAGAGAGAGAGGGTGAGAGAGAAACTATATGTTGAAGCTAAGACAGAAATTATAGTTATCATGGTAAATAATTTGGTAAATATTTTATCATATCAGTAAGGGTGGCTTTTAGATTTAGTCCAACCATCTTCTCAGCACACACATACAGTAATGTTAAACCCAACTGCTTTTGATGTGCTTAATGAATCATTTATATGCAAAAGATGTATGCAGTAAATATATATACTTTGCTTTCCTTGACCATTTGATTTGAAAAGTATGATGCTTTTTACTTATACTTCTGTTGCTTAATATAGTTGTTCTGTTATTTAATTCAGGGTTTGTTCATCCTCCTCTTGTACACTAGTCCCCTCTCCTGCTCGTCAAATTTCAGTCACCTCATCTATAAGATAAAAGAAGGATTACCTAAAGGGACACTCATAGGGGCTATCGGTGCAGACTTAAAATTGGATCTTTCTGTCAATCCTCCTCGTTCATTCAATCTGGAGCTAAAGACGGCCAGCCAGCAGTACGTGAATCTGAATAACACGACGGGGGAGCTGTTCACATCTGCCGTGGAGATTGACAGAGAGGCTCTGTGCGCGGAGTCCCACGAGGGCCAGGGCTGCGCTATCTTTCTGGATGTGCTAATCCTTCCTCAACAGTACTTTCAACTGGTTAAGGTTAAAATTCTTATTGAGGATGTGAATGACAACCGCCCGCATTTCCCCGTTGACGAAATCAGGGTGTCTGTGCCGGAGAACGCACCTGTTAATGCAAGGTTTGCAGTGGAGCAATCCGCAGTGGATCCTGACATCGGGATTCATAGTGTTCAAACATACTGGCTTGTTAATGACTATGGAGTTTTCACATTAGACGTAGAGGAGAACGAAGGCGGTGAACTGACGCCCTTTCTCATCATTACCGAGTCTCTTGATAGGGAGACACAAGCTGAGTATGTGACTGACATTATAGCCGAGGACGGAGGCTCTCCGCAGCTTCTAGGCACTGCAACTCTGAGGATTATCATCACGGACGTCAACGACAACTGCCCCAAGTTTGCAGAGTCGCTAGTGAACGTTACTCTTTATGGAAACGCTACTAAGGGCATGCAACTGGCTCATCTACAAGCCTACGATCCAGACGAGGGAGCCAACGCTTTGATCAAGTATGCCTTCAGCGAACGGGTCACCCAGGAAAGCAGAATCCTGTTTCATTTGGATACAAACACTGGAGTTCTTAAACTAGCAGGAAAGATTGACAACAACACCGGAAAACTCTACAAACTAATCGTGCTGGCCAATGGGCCGACTTGTATTCCAGAAGTTGCAACGGTTACCGTTCACGTCATCAAACAGCTCTCCGGGCCTCCGGCGGTTATCCCACGTTACATTGCTTCTGAGAAAGACGGTGTTGTGAGTTTAAGTGAATCAGAACCACCGTTTTCACCCATTGCTTTTTTTACCATCAAAAACACAGAGCCACAACAAAAGATAGAGTGTCTTCTTGAAGGTGCAGGTCCATTTAGGCTTGTACCGTATGAGCAGTTTAAAAACGAGTACCTGCTTGAGACCACCGAGCTATTGGATTATGAGCAGCAACAGGATTATGAAATGGTTGTTGTGGTTCGTAACGCTCATGGATTAGTAGTGAACACCGTAGTGAAAGTCCACGTGTTGGATGTTAACGACAACGCTCCGGTTTTCAAGCAATCTTTCATTGACATCACAGTGGAGGAGAACAACCCACCAAATACGTTCCTCGCTCAGCTTCAGGCCATCGATGCAGACAGTGAATGCAGAGGTGAGGTGTATTACCTACTCGGTGCCGACGCTCCCACCGTTTTTGACTTGGATAGGTCAACCGGGGTACTGACAGTGTCCACTTCTCTTGACCGAGAGGAAAAGGAGACGTATCGTTTCATGGTGCGAGCCGTAGACCGTGGCACGCCGAGAAAGGAGTCAATCGCCACTGTGATTATCACCGTCCAGGATCGGAATGACAACAGTCCAAGGTTCATCAACAAGGACTTCACCTTCTTTGTGCCGGAGAACTTTCCAGGTTTTGGGGAAATTGGCGTTCTTACTGTCACAGATGCGGATGCTGGGGAGAACGGCTGGGTGGCGTTGTCCATCCTTAATGGGAGCGACATCTTCGTAATTGACACCGGACGAGGAGCGTTGCGAGCCAAGACCCCTCTGGACCGGGAGCAACAGGGAACGTATTATGTTTGGATCGAGGCAATTGATGGAGGCGAACCTGCTCTTTCTTGCATCACAATGGTGACTGTTCTTCTCCTGGATGTCAACGATAACCCTCCAACTGTTCTTTTCCCCCAGTCCAACCAGTCGTTCATGTTGGTACTTCCCAACACGCTTCCGGGAACGTCTATAACGGAGGTTTACGCGGTGGACCGGGACACTGGAATGAATGCTGTTATTGCGTACAGCATCATCAAGAGAACGGATGGAGAGCCAGGCTCGTTTGACATCGACCCCTACACGGGAAACATCACCTTGAGGAAAGCCTTGAGCAATCGAGGCCTCTACAGTTTGTGGGTCAAAGTCAGAGACCACGGTCAACCAGAACTCTACTCTACCATACTGGTCAACCTGTTTGTGAATGAAACAGTCAGCAATGAGACCCTCATTCAGAGTTTGTTGCCCAGAAGTGTAGATATTGACCATGGTGAGCTTCCTCCAGATAAGGAAGGGAGGAAGGGAGAACAAGTGCCAAACATGTGTGGCGAGTACCAAGTGTTACTGCTTGCACTGACAGCTACCTGCCTGGGATTGTTTCTGACCGTTGTGTCGTTGGTGACATACATTTGCTGCAAGAAAAGAAAACCGAAAAAGAAGAGGTTAGACATTGAGATTCCTTTAAAACTCAACCATGAAATGGTGGACAAGAACCCAATGGAGATTTCAAACATCTGACACTGCAACTGCTTGTACTGCCCAAATTAATCTGTTTACAGTGTGTTTTGTGCATCTTAATATCTCTTAAGTATATGATTTGAAAATACGATGTATATATTGTGCATACAGTATGTTTTATAACTATGATGAAATATACAAATATATATATATATATATTGACAAGATCGATGTGAAAGATTTTGCTATTTGCATTTGCTGCCCAACATGCTTTTAATGTAATTTATCTTACAATGGTGCCCTCGGCAGTGTGTTGTGTCAAATTGTCAAACCTCTTTTATATGCCTGTCTCTGAAGTCCAATGCACTTCTCAACAGGAACATCGTTCTCCCCATGGCAAGCTGTTCGCTTTCAGATGTAATGCTCCTTATGTTTGTCACCACCCTTCTGAAAATGAAGTCCAAAGGAGATGAGAAATCAATGCCGCATTGATTCCTCAACTGTTTCTCAGTTATTAACAGGTGTTGTTGGACATTTTGTGTTTTCTGTAGGATACTAGGTTGGTGTGCAACGTCCTAATGAGTTTCTTTAACCCTAGAATGGCTTGGTTCCTCCAAATGGTTTGTTCAGATCTGTTTGTGATGGCTTTTGTGCACTCTTTCACAGCTTTCTTCAAAGCAGCTAAGTCTACATTTCTCTGATCTAATTTCTGTGTAAGCAAAGAATTTGTGAACATTAAAGTGCTTTATTTTCTTATTAATAGCTTGGATATGATTTTCTTTCATGAATTATAGACTAAACCAGTATTAGATGTGGACATGACTCAGCAGCTGTGTTGCAGCAGTCGTTGCTCAAAAAGTTAATCTACTAAAGCATTTAGTAGATTAATTTAATCATAAGGAGAATTCAAAAACCATCTCAGTGGTTGATTTGACTGTATCTATATGTCGTTTATACAAGTAAATTGAAGTGCTTTCTTTCTTGGAATGTGTTTGTACACACAGTATTGCCGTTTTCTTTGGAAAAGATATAATGCAAAGGGTTATCAGTCTTATCGGAGACCAAATCACAAAGTTATTTACATTGAAAAATGGCATTCAGTGAATCAAGATGAAGATATAGTAGTGTGCTGCTGGTGCCAAAAACAATGAAAAATATCTTGTGCGATTATATTCTACTACAGAACTTCCATATATTTGCATCAACACATGACAGTTGAAGTCAAACAATGTTAATTTCACCTTAATCATGTTCTTTTCAAGCAGATAGCATTATGCAAAGCATTTTGGATAGCCTTTTGGTTGTGGTGTGGTTGGCATCTCATTCTGCTCTTTCTAATCTACCTCTTTGTGTCGGACCAATAAGATGGCTTCTCCAGAGTCCCGACCCATTACAGAGGTCAGATCGGGAGTGTGTGTTTAGCTTGTCATCGCTCGTGGAACACCATTCAGCTCTCTAAAACAGACAAGCATGGCATGGCCACTCGCCACTTCTATTATTCCAAAAACCAGTTTGGTTTCATTTTTCCCTTTCTCTCTCTGGAAGTCTCTGAAACGCTCACAATGGAAAGCAGTCATTTAAAACCACAAGAAGCCGGAGGACATATAATGTATCGAGGCTTTGCAGTGCACAGGTTGCGTGTAGGGCCTGTCATCTGGGGTCAGGTTCACCGCTTAATCTGCTTACTTCACCAGCAACATGTGTTCACAAACCAGCGGGAGACTGAAATCCACCAGCATGCATTTAAGAACATCTTCATCTGTGGGTCAAGATCAAGCTTCAGATTAAAGAAAAATTATTATGTTGCACATTATTAAATTCTTTGAAATTGGTGGTGTTAGCAATGCCAAGGTCATGGGTTCGATTCCCAGGGATATTTATATAATAGATTCCCCAAATACACTGTAGTTTGCTTTAGATAAAAACATTTGGCAAATGCATAAAAGCATTACTGTAGCATGGTAACCAAACCTAAGAGAGCCTTGACATTGCCAGTGATTTAAAGTGACCAGAAATCATTTATTTTTAATGAGTTAATCTGAGTGGAGAGCGTGAGCAGTGTTGGCTTATTTGCATAAAGTTAAACTCTTCTCAACATTGTTGCATCAGCAATGGAATTTGAAGTTGACTTTCTGACTGAAGTTGTTCAAAGTCAACTTCACAATGCAATGTTTTGATGAGCGGCATGAGTTCAAAGTCACATAAACAGTATATAAAAAGCAGTCGAAACAGCTTCTTCAAGTTCTGTCAAAATATGCCACTCGCAGTATAGACATACATATATTGGCTGAATTGTTTCAGAAGTCATATCACATGAGCTCCGCTGTCTCCACTCCCATTTCCTGACATGACAAAATGAAAATGACAAAAAGAAATTAATAAAAAAAAAACATTAACTTTGAAGTAATTCGAGATTTATATCAAGAAAATGAGAGTGCAAAACTCAACACCATGATGCAAGGCTGTTGCTATGCAGTTTCTAAGGTGTTCTGAGTTTTTTTAGTGCGTTGCTATGCAGTTACTGGGCCATTGTTATGTGGTTACTTACTGGCCCAATTACATTTACATTCATGCTTTTAAAAATGCAAAGTGACTTACATTGCATTAAAGGTATGCATTACATTTTTTCAGTTCTTGTTTTCTCTGGGAATCAAACTCATGACCTTGGTGTAGGTACTAGTGCCATGCACTACTGTTTTAGCTACAGGAAAACCCCAATGACATTTACATTTATGTAATTTGGCAGACGGTTTTATTCAAAGCAACTTACATTGCATTCAATGTATACATACAGCTCTTGCTTTCCCTTGACCTTCTACTGTTTGAGTTACAGGAAAGCCCCAATTACATTAACATTTTTTTGCATTTAACAAACACTTTTATCCAAAGTGACTTACATTGCGTTCACATGTACATTTCATCACGAAAGCCCCAATTACTTTTACATTTATGCTTTTATCGCTTTTTATCCAAAGCAACTTACATTGTATTCAAGGTAAACATTCTATCAATTCTTGTTTCCCTGGGAAACGAACCCATAACCTTGGGTTAACTAGTGCCATGCTCTGCTGTTTGAGCTATAGGAAAACCACGATTACATTTACAATAGTGTATTTAAAAGATGCTTTCATGCAAAGCGTATACATTTGATCAATTAATGCATTGCCTGGGAAACAAACCTATGACCTTGACATTGCTAATGGCATGATCTAATGTTTGAACTACAGAAACACAAATCAATTAAAGTCTCTAGACATGGTTCAGGTCTCAGATTTCTCTGCCCATTTTATAGTCTACCAGGTGAAGTTGATTGTTAAGAAAAATAACAGCACTGCAACAAGCTTCGGGATTTGATGCCTGTAGCATAATCTAAAGTTTAATAACGTTAGAGGTTTGTTCAAATCACTAACCCTAAATATGAGCAATAATAACTGATGCTTTATTTAGCAAACACAACTGAAAACTATGCTGCGCTGATTCAGTAAACACATCTAAATACATTCAAATCACAGAAATCACATCCCTGTGGAGCAGTTAAATATCTCTAATAGAAGAATATGTCATACTACAGAAGGACACCTTATTATGCAAGAACAAAATAAGTGTGCAGCCTCTCAGTGAGTTTTGTTACTCAATATGTCCACTTCGATAGGGTTTGATCGGGTCACATTTAATCTGAGCTTTCCTCTGTGTTGATTACTCATGTCACTCTATAAGTATGTGTGTATATTCTCACTCTTCCAGCATACAATCGGCTTTCCTCTCCGCTTTCCCACCTGGCCAGACGGTTATGTGCCTCTCGTGGCCCCAGACGGCCCTCCACATCTGCTCAACGGCGACCAACACAAACAGAACATTAGCCTGGAGACGTACGGCCTGATTGCGCTCGTTGTAGTGATGGAGGACCTGTGAGAGACCCACAACAAACAGCCTCTGATTAATAAAATACACTTTATTCCCTTTCTTCTCCAGCTCTCCATCTGATTGCTGCTTGGAGTGAAATGTGCAGCTACCAAAAAGAGCTGTTCAAATTTAATTAAGGCTCTTTTGTCCGTTGGGCTTATAGTGTTTAAAGTACAACTGCTATAATTTTTCTTGGTGTTGAGTTTGCATGCAATATAATTTTCTCCAATCTTGGCACTGTAAGCGCTTCTCGAAAACCTGACCAGCATGTTTTTGAAGTGGTCGGTGGCCTTTCCCGACTCTTGACACTGTTTACCATTCCAAATAACATGATAGCTATCTACTTTGCAGACAGAAGGTGCTTCAAAATGACTCACTGCCTCTGAGTCATGCGCACAGCCGCAGATTTACCTTTTGGATTATGAGGTGCGACAATGCGGTTGAATCCAAACCAGAGTCAAATGTGTCTGCAAAGCAGTACATGGAAATGAGAGATGGTTACACTATAGTCGCAAGTTTGGAAAGTGCATTTTCATTGTGGCTATTAAATGACAAATGCAATTTAAAAATTTCATTTGCTGCCATTCAAAAGTTTTAATGCTCACCAAGGCTGCATTTAAAAAAACAGTAAAAAGTGTAAAAAATGTGAAATATTATTTTGAAATAACATTACTTTCTCCTATGTTTATATATGTTAAAATGTAATTTATACCTGCAATGCAAAGCTGTATTTTCAGCATCATTACTCCAGTCTTCAGTATCACATGATCCTTCAGAAATCACTCTAATATGCTGATTTGCTGCTCATCAAACATTTCTGATTATTATCAATGTTGGAAGCAGTTTGGCTGATTCATATATTTTTAAACATTTTATTTTTAGGAATCTTTGATGAATAGAGAGCTCAAAAGATCAGCATTTATTTGAAAATATATATATATATTTTGTACCATTATAAATGTCTTTACTGTCACTTTTGATCAATTAAATGTATCATTGCCAAATAGAAGTAAAATGTCTTTAAAAAAGCGTACATATATGCATACAAGACTTGAAAAAGAAATCACCTTTTTGTTCATTTACAGGCAGTTCATGCCTTACATAAAATACTGAAGACAGTATGATGGTAGCATAATCTGATGCCACCATTTGTACCTAAGTGCCAACACAAGTGTTTTTGATAATCAGATGGCAACACAGAGTGTCAAATTCAAAGAATACCACTACATTGGCAAGTATGTTTTCCTAAGTGATCTGATAAAGCATTTAGATTAAAACTCACAACATAGCGTTTTCATGTGCATATGGGGGTAAAATGATCTTATTTCCCTAATCTAGTTAAATTAGAAACAGTTTTACTTCTTCAGTGGAAAGTGTGTTTCGTATCTGAATGTGAGTTTGCAGTGTGTTGTTGATAATCTACTCCACTTCTTTTGCACTGGTGAACTACGTTCAAGAAAACCAAGAACATTAAGAAAGTCATTCTATTACATATTTAAACATCTGCATTTCCCTCTAGCTCATTACTGTCAGTTTGCTTAAACTAACATCTGAACCTCAGTTAAAGCTCTAGTGAAGGTGCAAACACAGGAAATGACATCTGCCTGACCTCATAACTCACCCAATCCCCTGATCTCTCCACAAACATGATGTCCGGTCTGCTTTTCTTGGCCCTGTTGGGGGAACTACAAACATTTGTTTGTTATTATTTCATTACATTTCATCTGCTAATATTTTTGTAGATCAGATATGTGATATGTCTTTTACAAACATTAATTTGAAGTTTTGTTGATGGTCACGTCCTGTTGTGTGAAAGGAGTAGT